AGCGCACACATCTGCAAACGTCGGAGCCTCCAGCTCTGCTCCTGAGAGCGACGACCCCAGGCACCCAGCACCCCCGGCCGCCTCCTTCACACGCACCCCGACCGCACCCCGCCCCGGCTCCCGTCCCCCGTCACCATCGCGCGGCGTCCCGGAGTCCCAGGGTCCTTCCCACGCAGCCCGCGGCCGGCACAGGTCCCGCAAGGAGGACTAGAGAGCCGAGGGACACTCCCCAAAGAACTAAGGACAGGGCGCCATGACACCGGAAGTGCCCGCCCACCCCGCCTCACCTGATTGGACAGTTCGTGCAGCCGGGCTCTTGATCGCAGGTTGGCTCCTGCTCCAGTGCCCTCCCTCTGTCCAGAGTGAAGAGAAACTCCAGTCTGCGTGGGTAGAGCTCAAATAATAGGTTGTTCCCCAGGAGCTTCTGGACAAGGATCTTCCTTTCGATGTCAACCTCACCTAGCCTAACAATAATTATATTTAAGCAGTTTGCTCTTCACTTTAGAGAGCGTTCCTTGTTTTCTAATGGACTTAGTGTGCGCTTCTGAAATGGGGTGACTTGTGTTCACAAGGTTCCATGGTCAGCGTCCAGTGGAAGAATCGGTCCCCTGATGGAAGAGAACATCGTGAGTGCAGGACAGTGGAGGACCAAATAGAGTAGCGGGAAGTGTGTTTTAATTGTGGTAAGGAAGGACACGCCTACTGCACTGCCCAGAGCCTATAAGGGCACTACCTCCCTCAGCTGAGGGAAGTACTCAGTGTCCTGCATACTCAGTGTCCATGTTCCATGAGAGGTTTTCACTGGGCCAAAGATTGAAAACCTAAATTTCGTGAAGATGGCACCCTCTTGCAGAGAAACAAGCCATGTACCCAAATCAAGGGCCCCGATAACAGTAATAAAGGGCCAGTCCGTCATTCCTCCAATGATCTGGACCCGGTTAAGCCCGCTGTATCCAGTCCAAACCTGCCTAACAACGGTCCCTCTGCCAGGATGTGTGCACAGCAAAATTTACTTCTTTTGTTTCATTGGTCTGGTGGACCAATCAGAGTACTGAATTAGACTCACCAGTGGCTTCTCACATTCATCTGTTGAAGGGAGAAAAACCAAATTTAATTCCCACTGAAATTTCCACTCTTGCCCTTAACCCCATGCATGAACCTTTAAACAAGATGAGCCTTTAAACAAGGAACTTTATTTTTCCCAGAGTATTTCAGTTCATAGACATTCTGGCACTATTAAGCTAAGTGGGTAATGTTTTACTGGATTGATGGATACAGGAGCTGATATCACCATAGTAAATAGCCAATCATGGTCATCTGCTTGGCTGACTAAAGCCACCTCCACTTCCCTGATAGACTCCCCTCAGTCTGTTTCATAGACTATACTGCCACACCCTTATGTTGGCCGTGATAGACAGATATTGTAACACAGTTTATTGCAACTGTTTCTGTGAATCCGTGGGGCGTAGACCTCGTGAAAGAATAGGACACTCTATTAGTTACTTCTCCCCCTCATAGGTATGTGTCACCAACTAGCAGGATGATGGCTAAGACAGGATATCATGAGAGTAAGTTTGGGTAAAACTTGCAGGGTTGTACTCTTACAATTGTGCATTTCATTAAGCAAAATAGATCTAAAATTGGATTTATAATGAAGGCCACTGGTACTTTTCTGCAGGAAAAGTTAAGGATTTTATCAACATTGGTAGAAGAACAGCTGCAATTGGGTCATTTCAAGCCTAGTTTGTTGCAACTATTTTTAACATTGCCAGGAGCAGTACTGTGTAGAAATGCTTCATTTTTATTGACCATCTCAGATCTTATTCTAATCACCAGGTCTGTTTTCATCAGGTAGTTATAATACAAGTAATCTTGTATATTGGTTTCCATTTTAATAGGTTGAGACAACCCCATAAGTTTTTTCATCAAAATTCTAAATCCCTGCAAAAGGAATTTAAAATTACCATAGTAAAAACTAGACAAATCATGATTTGATGTCCTACCTGTCAGCTCATGCCTAGGCCTATTCCTCAGCAGAAAGTAAATTAGGAGTTTGTGTGCAAAGTGTTTCCCCTGGTTAGAGTGGATTTACCCTATGGTGCAGAAATTTAGGGAGGATGGTGTGTAAGATAAAGATACCTGGAAAGGAAGTAGAGACAACGCTGGAGGGCAAAGGGTGGTCGTGCTAGGTTTGGGTAACTAGAGGAGATAGAAAAGAAAGAATGAGGGAGACTTGAAGGGATTATCTGAACTTGCTCTCTGGTTTGGGGGAGGGATTACAACAAGAAAATGAAGGGAGAAAAAGAAATAAAATGGAGGAAAAATAAAAGAAAAGAAGGAAAAGGAAAAAGTAAAATAAAAAGAAGATAAAGCAAGATTAAATAAAACAAAATTATTTTTAAAAGCTGTGGTCCCACTACCTGTTTGTGTTCCATTTGTCTTTGTCCCAAGCACAGCACTGGTTCGCCTAACTCACCACCTGTAGTCTCATATTTCATACTTCTCCCTCCTGCCAGCCTCAACTGTCCATCATGTGCACCCTAGTTTGGGTCCTACTGTGTGGGTCTCATCCCCCAGTGGCCTGGTTCCACAGAGTAGGGGGACGGGCCAGGCACCTGGGTTCCTCTGGCTGAGCTGGGTGCCAATTCCTGGGTGCTTCCCATGTTGACTGCCCATCTCACTCTGGCTGCCGAGTCCTGGGTGTTTCCCACACTGGCTGCCCAGTCCTGGGTGTTTCCCACACTGGCTGCCCATCCCATGGTGTAGGTGGATGGGCCAGGCGCCTGTGTTCCTCTCACGCTTCCTTCTTTAAAGAAGACTGTTACATCTGAGATCAATTGTAACTTGTGCTTATAAAAAAAAACACCTATGGGAGTAAGTACACGAGGTCCCCGGGAAGATAGAATTATGCACCGGTACTGGTGTGGTTAGACTGGTTGAAATTTGTCTTCTGGTCTCTCTCCAGATGGCATCCGCCTGCCCTGGAGGTGCTGGCCAGATCAATGTCAAAATCTCTTCCTCCTTTATTGTATTCTTAAGCACTGGTGGAGGTTCAGTCTTCACATTTTGAAAAACAACAGTTCACACCTTAGAGCCAAGAAAGAATGCAGAAGAAAGTATTGATTAAGATGCTATTTCAAAACTAGAGTTGCACTGTAAGAAAGACAGAAAAAGATCAAAATTGTCTTATGTTCAGACTTTCCTTGCAAGAAAGAAATATCTTTGCTTGTGTTCAAGCATAAATGTTAGACACAAAAACACCTCAGACACCTCTGAGCCTTAAGCCATCACTTCCAATGAGCCTGAGGATATTTTTCCTCAGTCTTTGGAACCTAGCTGAGGTTTCCAAGACAACCTTAATCAAAGCCTCACACCCGGTTACTGAGTCTGAGGCTTCTCCTACCTGCTCTTTGGGTGATGAGCGTGGAGCTCCTAGGTCAGCTGCAATTAAAGCTTCCACGGGGCTGTATCTATCCTTAGCTGGTTTTGTTCAAGGTCGTCAAGGACAATATTCCTTACAAGAAGTAAATGGGGAATTTTGAACTACCCACATTCTTGTGCCCGCTTTTCTTTCAGTGACCTAAAACAGATCAGGCAAGATGTAGGAATGTTTTGAGATGATCATGGTAAGTACATTGAGCTTTTTAGAGGAATCACTCAGACATATAAATTAGATTGAGGAAATGTAGTGTCACACTTAAATCACTGACTTCTCTTGAGAGACAATTAATTTGTGGGTTTCTTAAGTGTATTACAGATAAGGGATGTATATTTTTAGAGTAAATATAAATAGAGTCTGGCCAGTTGTGCTGTAAAGAAAATTTACCTAGGTGACTGGATAGAAAACCCCAGCTGTCTCAAAGATGTCTTTGTCCCTGGGCCAAGATTTCTTCTGGACTATTACCTGCCTCTGTCTGTTCTAGGAGGTGATAGATCTCTTTTACAGGATCAGATTTTAAAACTTGTGATTCAGAGCCATTTATTAGAAAATAAGCCCTAGAAAATATAATTGGAATAGTTCATTTTTCTCACTGTTTTTCAAAAGGTTAAAAATTAATGATTCAGGTCCTTTGATTACTGGTTTCATTTTCTGTTTGGCAGTACAGTTGGAGATGTGGAGAAAAATTTAAAACGTATTTCTAACACTGTATTCAAGGATGGGAAAGGCAAGCTCAGCCTTTTCTCATAAGTAGAGGCTAGCAAACCTCAGCTTGCCTTGACCTCCATGACAGCCGCAACTTGTACAATAAGTTCAACTCAGCCAGATAGTGTCTCTTGTTATATTAGCTTGCTTCCAAGGTTTCCAGGACTTATCGCAGAGAGACAGACCCAACTCAGTCTTAGACAGTGATTGATTCTTCTGTTCACCCAAGCCCTGACCTCCCTGCTGTCCAATAGTAACCCCAATTAACTTGCCCAAAACAAATCCGCCTAACCACACATGACAAGACAGTGTGTAACCTGCTATAAAAGTCCTGTTATCTGCTTTTTGTACTTCCTTCTAAAAACCTTTTTCAGTAAACGTTTAACCCTAAGACAAGGTTACAATTTGGAGCTGAGATGCCATCAGTCTGTCGGCATCAATACAGCTGGTGCCTTCCAGCTGCCTGCGGCGCCAGGTCTCCCATCTGGTCTGTGCCTGTTTCCGCAGCGTTGCTTGGGGGCGCACCTGGGAGACACCACGCTGACTACTGGGGTCACGGAGCGGGGCCACCATGGGGACTAGCCCTCCGTCCTGCAGAGGAGAAGGCACACCCCCTGGTCCTTTTCCTAGTCTCTTCAGTGGTCCAGGTGTGGGAGCCCCTGCGAGACAGCAGTGACTTCATCGGAGCCTAGAAGGAAGTGGAATGAAACAAGGTCAGGCCCTCGGGTAGAGAACGACTTCACAGGCACAACCCGCAATGAACCTTTTAGTTCCGCTTGTCAGTTCCATCGCCTTTGTGGATGAGGCAAGGACGTGGTCAATCCTCGAAGCCTGCGCTAGCAGCTTGTGTTAGTCAGGACGGTGAGTTTCTGTTTCAGATGCAGCTAGACTTAGCCCCAGGCTTGGGGAACCGGAATGTATTAACCGCTGAAAGCTTGCAGAATGCTTGAGTGAATGTTTGTCACGGATGACATCAGCAACAGGTCGTTCCATCTGTGCACCAGTGTGAAAGCACCGCCCACCCGGAGAGCTTAGAGTCACCGAGCTTAATGGAGCCCTTGCAATTTCAGCGACTTGTCCACCTGGGCTTGCCCAGCAGGCTCCCTTCAGAGGCTTGGAAAGGGAGTAACCAAGGGCTAAGTGGCACGTCTCCTTAGCTCCGATGGTGCCAACTTTTCCAAGAGGCAAGTGGCCAGGTGGGTGCCTGTGTGTGTCCTGGCTCCCTGAGAGGCCCCCACCACTCTGTCTGTTGAACTCCAATCGTGTGCCCACCACACACGCCGCAGGGAGAAAGTAAGGGTGCAAGCCATAGCAAAATGACCTCCTTTAAATGCATGATGAAAAACTTCGAGAGAGGTTTCATGAAAGATTGTGAAATAAAAATGAAACCTCCCGCCCTATGTGAAAATAAATGGCTACACCTGCGTCCTGCTTGGCCACCGGAAGGTGTTCTCAACATAAAAACTGTTCATCAAACCTTCAGGTCGGCAAGCCTGGTCCAGAAAGCCACCCAAATCCTAAATCCCCTAAATGGATGATGACCCAAAAGACTAAAAAGATTTGTGCTATTCTGCCTGCTGATTCTGATGGTGGCTTCCCTCCCCCATATGTGGGCCACACCCAAAACCAGCTGGGGACTCCTTCTTCCCAGAAGCAGCTCCCAGCCATCTACCAGTCCTTGTGTCCTGGGCCTCCACTCCTTTATCGGATATCAGGCCTGCCGGCCTCTCCAACCCCAACTCTGGAGAGTCCAGTTAGTCACCCAAGGGATCAAAAGACTCTGGAGAGCCAAGTGTACTGTCACCTGGATCCTCTCCCCCACTTTTCCGTGGTGATGAATAGGGCAGACTGAGCTCCATAAGACTGGGCCCCATTACTCCACGGTCACTGCAACAATCTGCGGAAAAGCAGTGACTTCTATGGTGGACAGTGGGCTGCACATTCTGCTGTCACTCAGCCTGTTGCCCCTTGACTTCCCGACAAGTTCAAGTGACAGGGGCCATGGGAATGTCCACTGAAATGAAATTTTGTCACAGCAGATCCTGTGAGATTGGTGGACATTTCATCAAACATAAATTCTTGTACATGCCTCAATGTCCTATTCCACCTCTGGGGAAAGATTTTCTTTCAAAGCTAGGAGAAACTTTTTCTACTAACCAGCGTGCTACCCTCACCCTAGTGTCCTTAACCCCGAACCTGATATGGACACTGACTGCACCTTGAGAAGAAAAATGACTGCATGAGACAGAAGCACACAGAGGCTACAATCCTGAGATTTTAAGAGCCATGTTTCCAGATGTGTGGGCAGAAGAATCACTGCAGGGGCTGGCTGTTAACCATGCTTCTCTGATGATTGAGCTCAAGCCGAGTCCTGCTGCTGTCAAACAATACCCAGTGAGATGCTTGGCTTGGATACGGCTGTACAAGAATCAACAAGTGCACAGTGTCCCAAAGGACAGTAACCCAGTGGAAAACATCTCCCATGCTTTCCCAGAAAGGAATGTAGGGGGCAGTGAATCTTAGCATACTATTTTAGATAAAATAGTTTGGTAAAAGCCAGCATGGTGCCTCGGGAAGCCTCCCGGGACAGTGTAAGAGCTAATTCCCCAGATCCACACTGCCCAGGAATGTCTCCCCAAGATAAGGGGGCTCCTAGGCCTAGGTAACCCTCCATGACCCTGCCTGGGCAGTTCCATCTCCTGGCCCTAGGTAAACATTGTAACCCTAAAGGAACGCACAGGTTGTAAAAAAGGAGACAAATGGAATGTAATGGGGGAAACATCTATCACGGTTAGACATGCGACCGCAACTGACCTGGGGTCCAACAGGCAGAAAGAAACACCATATGCCCACCGGGGTCAGCGAATGTAACATCCCAATCTGTTGCCAATGGAAACCAAAATGTATATAAGGTGAAACAAAGTTGGCCAGCAGCCCTCTTCCAGATTGGCAAGGGGAGTGAGGGTGGCCAGCCTCAAATTAAACTCTGGTTTGTTCTCAATAGCCTCGGGTCGCTTGTGGAATACAGCCCAATTTGTGCCAGGGGAGTTTCTGCCATTACAGGAATATATTCAATGCAAGTAGTATCAGTTTACTTACCCATAAAATTTTTAAAATGGAATGAATGCATCTGTCCATTTTAGTTCAGCTAATCTAGCTACATCAGTTTATTCCTCTACATAAAACCTACAGTGAGATTTGGGGTGGCTGTAAAAACAGTAATTTTCCTCCTCCCCAAATCTTCATTCGTCTTCTAATAAAAGGTAGAATTTATATCCACTTACAGATGAGGTGCACATCATACAGACTATATCAAAGTCTTCCTCAAAAAGCACACACATGCACGCACACACATTCACACATATACACATGCACAAGAACCTTATAGCTCTCTCTAAAACTCTGTTCCTAATGAAGTAAGCAAGCTTTTATTGATTGTTAAAATGTGGCACCTGCCAGAGGATGAAATTAAATAGATAAAAAGAAAAGTTACCTGAGATACAAAGAAAGACTTACCTGGAACAGATCTTAGCAGTTCCCAGGCACTTTCTTCATCCTACTGATCAAAGGCAAACATCCTTTCTATCCCATTGCTGTGATACTACATCAAGCTCCCCTTTCGTATATGCACTGATATTATCTTGTGGTACAGGAAAAGATACAATACTGAGTCAAGAAAACTGGGTTTATCTCACTAAAGAGTCTGAACAATTCCTTTGGGTTTTTTTTTTGTTTGTTTGTTTGTTTGTTTGTTTTTGTCTTTTTGAGACAGGGTCTCACTATGCAGTTCAGGCTGGCCTTGAGCTCACTTTGTAGCCAAGGCTGGTCTCAAACTCACAGTGATCCTCCTGCCTCAGCCTCCCAAGTGCTGGGGTTACAGACATGTACTACCATGCCTGCTGTATTCTTTTGCTTTCTGACTCTGTTACTGGTAAGATCAGGCCAATTTCAAGTACAATGACATCATTTAAATTGTATTCAGAATAAATGTTATTTTAAAAATTTAAAATAGTATAAAATTATACTACTCAGCTATAAAGAAAGATAAACACGAGACTTTTATAGGTAAATGAGTACAACTAGAGACCATACTCATACGTGAAATAAATCAGACTTAAATATGTAAATATCATATCATCTCCCTAGTGTAAGAAACTGAAAGAGTAAAAAAAATCCAAAAGGTACAATAGATATTGTGAAAGGGAAAGAAACTGCTCAAAAGGAAGAAACAACTGAGATGGGGGAACAGAGAAAAGAATAAGGAAAAATGTATATACACAAAATAGCTAAGATAGTTGTACTACTAATTTCTATTAGTTCATTGAAAGGAACAGTTAGTGCTTATGTTTGATCAACTTTGCATGTCTATGTCTGGCAATCTGAGAAACTACTTTGAAGATACGAATATGTAATATAATAACCATGGTTAATTTCCTATCATCTTGTTCTGAAATTATGTATCATTTTATTGATTTTTTTTCTCTTAAGAAAAAGCAATTGTTTTTGTTCATTTTTGAACAAATGTTGGCTATTGGTTTGTCATAGATGGCTTTGTATAATGTTGGCTATTGGTTTGTCATAGATGGCTTTGATCA